CTCCCCCTCCCTCCTCCTTGGCGCTAGGCACCCAGGAAATGATGGATCAGGTCGTCGCCTTCGATGACCAGGCGTACCGCCGCCGCTACCAGGACCGGATGGACATGTTCAGCGCCCGATGGGGCGCCAAGGGGGCACGGTGGCCTGGCGGCGTCGACAGCGGCGGCAGCGATGATGAGGAGGAAGGGGAGGAGGACGAGGGTGCGGAAACCGCAGGGGGGGCTGATGCCGTGGGCCCCGATGGCCTGGTGCTTCGCGCTGCTGGGACCGAGGGTTACGCGACGCCGCGGCGGCTGCGGCAGCAGCTGCAGCAGCAGCAGCGGCAGCGGCGACAGCAGCAGCAACAACGGCGGTGGCAGCAGCAGTGGCCCCATCTGCGGCAGCAGCAGCAGCAGGAGCAGCAGGCGCAGGAGCAGCAGGAGCAGGAGGAGGAGCAGCAGCGGGAGCCGAGGCAGCAGCGCTGGCCCGACGACGGCGACCCCATCGCGTGGCTGGCCGCCGCGCGCCGCGCGATGATGCACGAGCTCAACCGCGGGGAGGCCCCAGGAGACATGACTCACTCCAAGCTGATCCAGGATGAGCTGTCGGAGCTGCCTCAGGCCGAGGACCCCCTGCCGCCCCCGGGGTGGCTGCTGGATAACGACCTTGAGGGGGGGTGAGGGGCCCGTGCGTGCGTGCGTGCGTGCGTGCGTGTGTGTGCGTGTGTGTTTGGGGGGGGGGGAGTGGGCTTGACATGGTGGGGCATGCAGGTCGTGGAGGCAGAGGGTGCTGTTGCAACGCGGATGCCGTCGTGCGCCTGACTCATGATGGCTGCGACACTAGGCTGTGTCGCTGGGAGGCAGCGTGGCCACTCGAATGGGTGCTGCAAGGTGCAGCCCACGGCGGACGAGTGCAGCTGCTGCAAGTGTCCAGCCCTGTCTTTCGTCGCCCTCGACGGCTGCGGAACACCCCCCGCCCAGGCGCCATGGCATGACGCCGCGCGAGGCGTCGCTCGTGGTCTGGACACTGGCCGAGTGCGGCCACCCCAGCCGGAGCCTGCTGACCGCCGCGATGGCCGCCTATGGAGACGTGTGGCACATCAGCCTGGGGTACTACGAGATGGCGCGGCTCATCAACTCCTTCTCAAAGAGCGGCTACTACCCCTGGTCTTTCGTGGACAGGGTGCGCAGGGCGGAGGTGCACGCCGCGCCGCCGATGTGCAAAGGGCTCAGCTGCGCGCCTGCTCCTCGGCGCACGCCACACGTCAGACAGACTGCATATTGATGTGGGCAGACCATGGTGCTTCACATCCTGTGCCAACCAACTCAAGCGAAATCAGAAGCCTGAAAACGCAACCAAGATCCCCCTCGTCCCAACCTCCGCCAGATCATTGCCGTGTTCAGCATGCAGGCTGCGCGGCAGCGCATGTCGCCGGACACGATGGCCCTTATGACTGAGGGCCTGGGGCGGCTGGACCACGTGCCATCCGAGGAGTGGATGTGGCAGTGGACGCAGCTGGCATCCAACTCGGTCGGCGCCTTCACGCCGGACGTGAGGCGGGGGCGGGGGTGGGGGGCTGGTACGGGCTGCGTTGCGGGAGAGGCAGAGGCCAGCAGGACCGCCACGAAATGGGCCGGGGCCTCCTTGAAGCATGCAAAGTTTTCATGGTTGCAGCCGCCCTGCTCCATGCATCACCTGTGCAATTGTCCTGAGAAATCATCCTGCTTGACCAAAGGGCAGCCTGCGCACCTCGCGCCACACACTGTGCTGTCGTCCACTCAAACCGAGCCCGCGCACGCCGCAAGTGCGCCAGACACCACATGTCACGCACGTCGCCCTGCAACACTTTGTAACGACAGGAGCTGGCGTCCACGTGCTACGGCTTCCAGCAGCTGGGAGAGACCAACAACACCCTGCTCGGCTGCGCCGCCATCGCGGCGCCCACCTTTGCGCCGGCCTGCAGCCCCAGGGGCCTTGCTGACCTGGCGTCCGCGTTTGCCACGTACGGCCTGTTCACCCACGGCGTCCACCAGGTCGTGCTGGAGGCAGCTGCCCAGCAGCTGCGCAACGCCGAGGAGCTCGCGTCGGCGGGGCTGCGGTTTGAGGACACACAGCTCGAGCGGCTCGTGCGGGCGCTGGTGGTGCGGCGCGGGGACGTGGACTTTGCCCCGCTGCTCGCCGCGCTGCAGGTGCGGTGCGCGTTCGAACAGGCCAGCCAACCAGGGGCCAATCCGAGCGCAGGGTAACACCCTGCGAGCGGGTCCTCACTCCATGCAAATTATGTGCATTCACAGACGGCTGTGTCGCACAACTAGGCCGGCACTCTTTGCCCACCTGCGCTGCTTGTGGGCCCACTCCAGAGCCTGACAGGCACCGGCGTCGTCGTGCCGCGACCTCCAACCGCCGCAGGACGCGTTTGCTGCCGAGGGCGTCCAGCCCGCCGACATCCGCCCCTCCCTGGCCGCCGCCCTGGTGCACGCACTGCCGCTCAGCAGCGCGCCGCCGGCCGCTGAGCTGTGCACGCTGCTGCTTGACGCGCTTGCGCCCCACCTGGGGTTGCTCGCCCCAGGAGGCATCCTGGCGCTGCTGCGCAGCCTCCACCAAGCGCAGGCCCCGGTGGCAGAGGGGCGGCTGGCGCTGCTTGCGGAAGCAGCGGCGGGGGCGCTCGAGCGGGGTTGCGTGGGCAGCAGCAGCAGCGGTGACGACGGCAGCGGCAGCGGACTTGGTAGCGGCTGTTCATCCAGTGACATCATCGAGGTGCTGTGGCTGCTGAGCAAGCTCGGCCACTGGACAGCCACTGCTGACGGCAGCGGCAGCCCCAGCAGCGGCAGGGCCACAGAGGAGGGCGCTGCGGCAGCGCGTGCGCCGCCTTCCGCAGCCCTACGGCTGTTTGCGTCAGCAGAGGCTGCGCTGGTGGCAGAGATGCGGCCAGGGGCACTGCCGGTCGATCCTGTTGCAATTCCGCGGCTTCTGCGGCTGTGCGCGGGGCTGAGGCTCGAGCTGTCCTTGCCGGCGCGCACGGCCGCTCTGCTGGCAGCACAGCAGGCCTTGCCGGACATGCGCGGGGAGTCAATCGTGCTGCTTCTGCGCGGGCTGGCGGCGCTGCAGCCGTCGCCGGCACCGCAACTGCTTGTGCGGCTGGCAGTGAAGGAGCTGTCTGGCCGCAAGGGGCGGGATGTGCTGCGGTGGCAGTGGGTGGACGAGGTTGCGGCGTACTGCCAAGGCCTGGGCGTGGACCTGGCGGCGCTCAGGCAGCAGCAGCAGCAGCAGCAGCAGCAGCAGCAGCAGCAGCCGCAGTCGTAGCAGCCACAGCCGCAGCAGCAGCAGCAGCAGGCAGGGTCCGGCATGGACAAGGAAGAGGGTGTGAATGGAACACCTGGCGGTTGACCTGTAGCGCACCAGGCGGTGTCCCAGGAGAGGTGCAGCACAATAATAATGGGCACACATCTTCCTAAACGACCAGGTGCCAGGGCACAAGAGTTGAATCAACTTTGAACGCTGCGTCACGTTGGCAGGTTGTCATTTCACAGATTCAAATCTGCACATTCTTCAAGATCCCGACACAGCTTGCCAACTCACGGCTGACATGCACAGCGGTTTTAGACAAGACATTGAACCGCTTGAAAGGAAGCCCCTTGCCTTTGCAAATTCTGTTTGTAATTCTACTCCCCATGTGGACCTCATGTGCCAGCAACTCATGCATGTGTCACGAGGGGAGATGAGGAGTTCGTGTGACAGGATCCTCGTGGTTTGCCCAGTCCGCAGAGGTCCAGGCCACGAAGATACAGCAGGCCGCAGGAGGTGATTGAGTGATAAGCTGGGTGTTGGCCCGAGGCACATCAACAATTGTCCTCTGGACGCCCCAATCAACTCTTAGCAGCACACCGCAGCCATCAAATGATTCAATTCCTTACATGCAGCAGAAACGGCGCGCGCACAGAGTGCCTCGTCAGGTGAGCTTTGTGCCATGTACAAGCACCATGACAGCGACGCCGTCTCATGACTAAACGTGCTTCGCCACCTGCCAGCTGGTGCACCGTCATATGTCTCACTTAATTGTTTGTCACCCTGTCCCACAGACGCGGACGAGCATCTCTCACTCACGACGACATTGTTCTACACCGCAAAGCACTAAATCAACACGCCCACGGTACAGGTGCCGCTGACCGCATCTAGGTGTCGATGAGAAGACTATGCACAGTAATTAGTCGTATTTAAGACGTAGTAGAGTAGGGACAGCGGGGAGGTATGCGGATCCGACACTCCTGCCATCATAGTTTAGGGCAGGCGGAGATGCAGACGGGTCAGCTATATATTTATGGCCACAGACAGCGAGCACAGCCACTGCGCTCGCCGCTGGGCCCTGCCCGGGCAGCGTCGGAGGTGTGCCCGAGACCTAAGAGCGGCAGGCGGTTGGCGCGAGCGATGGCGATCCTGGAGAGCGACGCCGCCAGGGAAAAGGCCAGGTCATACAGAAGGACGGTGAGGTCAACCGAATGTGGCTACTTGCGGGGGGCTTTGCCGCCCTTGGCACCGCCTGGTGGCCGGCTGCGGCAGCCCAAAGGCATCGGCGCTTACGCGCAGTCGCCGGTTGCTCGCTCGCACCCGCACGTACGCAGGTGTTTGACCAGCAGGATTGGATGGAGCATCGCAGCATAGCCCGCTACTTTCGTGACGTGTATGGAATTGATGGTGAGCGGACGAGGCGATGGGATTTGTGCTGTTGGCCGGCTATCGTCGGTTTTTCCGTGCACGGCATCATTTCTGCAGTCGTACCTGTTGTTGTTGAGCTCGCACATGCGCACGCCCACAGGGTATGCACTTAATCCCGCCGCATTCTTCATGTCCCTCTCTTAGCACACCTTGCCAGCCATCGTCGTGCTGCATACCTGCGTCCCTCGACTCAATTACTGCAGCATCAATCATCGGTCGGCCGACCCCACCCCACCCACACCAGGCATGCTCAACAGCCGCATCGTGCGGGGGCTGCTGCCCCCGCTGTCGACCGTGCTGGTCGTGTCCTACTCGGTGTGCCTCTACCAGGAGCTGCTCTCAGAGGGCCGCCTGTCCGACTGGCTGCCAGGCGTGCCCTGGCCGAGCGTGGCCATATCGCCAGACGGGCCGTTCTCCAGCAGCACGGTGGCGCTCTCGCTGCTGTTGGTGTTCCGCACCAACAGCAGCTACGACAGGTGGTGAGCGCAAGGCCGCCCTGCTGGTGGCGCTCTGCGCGGGTTGCGGTGCTTGAGTCGCAAAAGCACAGACACCTGCGCTGATGTCACATTCAAGAGCGGACAGAGGTGGCTGCAATGTTGGCCCTGCAGTCCCAGCAAACTCGTCCCTTATTGAATCCACAGCCCTGCACCAGTCCCCCATGCCTGCACCACGACACCGTCACTGGCGTGCTGCGCTGCAGGTCCGAGGCGGCCTCAGCCTGGAACGACATCGTGAGCTCCGCCAGCCACCTCGCGCGCCAGGCGTGCCAGTGGCTGCCGTCCGCCGCGCCCAAGGAGCAGCGCGTGCGGGCCGCGCTGCTGCGGTGGCTGCGGGCCCTGCCGCTGGCGGCCATGTGTCACCAGCGGGAAGAAAGTCAAAACCTGCCTGGGCTAGTGCAGGGGTGAGGCGGCCGGTGGTGGTCAGTCGGCGATAAAGACTGGGCATGAGGACGCACGAAACACCAATCTCGGATGCTTGTGCTGTTGCTTGCAGACACTTTCAGCTGTCAGCTTCACCACAGGATGGGCTTGAAAACTTTCCCCGCCTGGCCTGGTTGGTGTTGCCACCCGTATAAAGCATCCACCCGCTTCCCAACCTTTGCCCTTGACTGGGGCTTGTGTGCGCAGGGTGCTGCAACCTGGCGAGGCGGCGCTGCTGCTGCGGTCAACGATGCCCACGCAGACCATCTTGACCATGGTTGGCGGCCTTATCGCTGGCAGCCCACTCACGCGTGACTCCAAGACGCACTGTGTGAGGCGGGATGGGCTGGGTATGGCTGGCCAGCTGGAGGGGCCGGGCAGTGAGGAAGCGTGACTGGAGCAGCTCTTGGCGCCTGCCGTCGCGGCGGCAGTCAGCGAGGCACCACTTGCATAAATGGTGCATGTGAAAGAGAAGTGCGCTCGCAGTAAGGGTGGCGAGGGGCGCTGGGAGTTCCCACCACATGCATTTGGGGCGCCACCGGCTCCGTGCGCCCCCGCTACTGAGTCATAACCCGTCGAGTCAGCACGCCAGCGTTGAGGTGCTAGGGTTCCTGCATACTTTCCAGGACACGCCCCTCCGCCCCTGTGCAGGACGAGAGCGTGCGCCGCCTGCAGGACGCCCTGGACCGCTGTGAGAAGATCCTGCGCACCCCGCTGCCCCTCAGCTACACACGCCACACGTCGCGCTTCCTGGTGATGTGGCTGACGTGCCTGCCATTCGTGGCCTGGACGGAGCTGGGGTGGGCCACGGTGCCGGTGGACGTCATCCTGGTGGGCCGGGCTGCTGATTGGGTTGCACATGTGGTTTTTGCGGATATCGCCTCATGCAGTGTACTCAAGCATGTTCACTATGTGGGCCTGTTTACACTCGCGTGTCAAGCAGAGCAATAACATGCTTCACCCACAGAGCTGTTGTGTTCCCATGGTGCACCCTGTTGTGCCACGCCTCACACCCCTGGCTTGCGGCGACTGGTACCCGGCCTTGGTGCGCCCTGCCCCTCTTGCAGGCTTTCTTCCTGCTGGTGCGTTCTGCCGTCGGCGTGCCAGGCCGTCAGCAGTGCCGACAGGCTCCCATGGCTGCACACATCGTTGTGCATGCATGCTGTTATGATTGCTTGCCCTGCTGCCGCCACCTGCCGTTTGCCCCTGTGCACCCTCGCTTGACCAGCCCATGGCGGCTTGTGACAGGGCCCATGGCTGCATGAGCCCGGCTTCCGGCAGGACCCAGCCTCCGTCATGGTATGGACAAACCCAAGGTTTTTGGCGCTTAACGCTGCTGTGCAGGGCATAGAGGAGATTGGGGTGCAGGTGGAGGAGCCACTGGGAATTCTGGCGCTGGAGGTGGGTTCAACCAAGTTGAGTTTTGCAGGACTTGGTACATAGGATGAGGGTGGCTGAGAGAGTTGCGGAGGTTGATCAAGGGAAGCGCCCTGGCTCTGGAGGGGCTGAGGACGGCCCTTGCGCTTCAAACATCGCACGCGCTACTGCAGCACCAACACGGTATGCGCCCGCTGACCACTACCCTCTTCACGCAGCACTGGTGCGCCCTCGTGGACAGCCGCATCAGCGAGCTGGAGGAGGAGCACGCCGCAGTGCAGGCGGCACTGAAGGACACCCAGGCTGGGTCTCTGCAGCCACCGCCGCTGCAGCCGCCAACGCCCGCACCTGCTGAGGCAGAGCACCAAGAAGGGAATGGGAATGTCGCCGCTGAGATGGCTAGTCACCTGCAAGCAATTAGGAACTGAAAAGTTGTGCAGCAGCGACACTTTGCCGCAGACGAGTTTTCATATGGGATGTCGCGCCGCCTTCTTCCTGGGTTGTGGTTCATTTCAGTTTGCAAACAGATTCGTGAGCCGAAGTTTGTCAAGGGAGTTGGACTCAAGCAAGGTCTCTTTACTTTGGAAACCAACTGATACCCTTGCAGGAGAGATGCATGCCTGTGCTGCAACAGAGGCACGCTCATGCTAGGATGCCCCTCGCACAAGTTTGTGAGCCTGCACTGTGCGTTGTTTGGACAGCTTGTGGCTTCAAGCACGTACAGTTTCTGCCAGCATCTCATGTACCACTCTTTCAGCTTTCCGCATCAAGTAGGTGACGTCAGTTATAGCTGGTGTTTCATCAGGCTGTTGCACTTGATGGCTGCATTTGCTAAAATAGGGGAGTGCCCGCTTGTTGATTTGCGGTGTGTTGTGGCCAGCTGCCCTCGGAACAACCGTCCCAGATTCCCTCATACCCCGTTGTCTTGGATGATGTTTATTTGTGTCGATCGTACTGTACGGCGGTTTGCACTGTTTTGTTGTAAAGTACACTCAAGACAGTTGGTGTAACCCATCTTTTTGACACAGCAGCAAACCTAAGATGGAGCTGCAAAGTGTGCAGCTTTTGCTAGTCCACACACGTGATGCAGTGCGCGTCAACATGTGCTGGTCAAACTGCACAACACTTGATGCATATGTGCAGATATGTGCAGACATGTGCAGGACTTGAAATCGCTCCTCAAACAGCCTTGGTCAGAATGGACTTCCTGGGAATGCCGTATGTGTTGATCAGGTGGTCCGCCACCTGTGTGGGCAGGACAGGGCACGTGCAACAGGAGGCTGGGACGCCCGTGCGGAGGAGCAAAAATGCCAAGTCGGTGTTAGAAGCCGCTTGGGCTGGTGGCACGGGGGGGGGGGGGGTGCTTCGCTTCACACCACACAAACCAGCAGCAGCAAGGCGTTGCCCTGCCATGAACATGGTCGCCACGGTCGCCTTGTCCTTTGTTCAAGCCCAACCCATGGTCCCTCTCCCCCTTCCTCAAAACCCCTCGCCAGGGAGGAGAAAGAAGGGGAAGGAGGGAGCCCTTTTGCCTGTTGCCAGCCTTGCTGCCACCCTCTACGCTACACAACAACCTGCCCTGCCTTGCCCCCCCCCCCACCTTTTCAATCATGGCGCCCTGGCACACCACCTCGTGCCCCGGATTGTTCTTCCCAGGCAGCTCCACCGTGGTGGTGCTGCAGGCCAGCTTGGACCGCAGCTCAGCAGCGCAGGCCTCCACATCCACCAGGTACGCCTCCAGACCCACAACCTGGGGGGGAGGGCGAGGGTGCATACACAAACATGCGTGTGTGGCTGTCGCATGTGGGTGCATGCGCATGTGCAAGTCTGCGTGCATGAGTGCGGGCGCTGCATATGTGTGTTTGGGGTGGGGGCGCCGTATGTGTGTGATTGCACTCATACGCAAGCACGTGTATGCTTGCATGTGTGCATGTATGCCCGTAGCTTGTGCATGTGTGCAACTACGGTTTAAGCGGGCGAGTCATCGCTGAGGGTTGAGATGGGAGATTAAGAGCTACAAACCTATAAAATCAAGAGGCACATGCCTCGTACGCCTGCTCTCATGTGCCGCTGCAAACGGCTGTCTGCTTTTGGTCCCAGGCCCCGCACACCTTTGTGACGCGCTTGTTCCCCTGCCGCTTCTCGGTGCTGACGTGGATCGGCGGTGGCGCGCCTTTGCGCACTACACGCTGCTGCCCCCGCTGCACCAGATACTGCACGGTGCAATGGGGGTTGGGGTAAGGGGTTCAGGAGCGTGAATCGCCAGCGGGGGTGCGGCGGTTGCAAGGCCGCAGCGGGACGGACCGCGTGTAACAGCAGTGACGGGCAGGGCTGTTGATGGGCCAGGATACAGAGGTGTGAAGCTGGCGTTTTATCTTTCAGCACCTCAAGGCTCCCCTTTTCAAGGCCGGGGCTTGTCACCTGGCCCTGGCTCTGTCTCACCTGCGCCTGCATGCGGCCCAGAAACTTTTCCCGCAGCACCGCCTGTTGTTGAGGCGCGTGGAGGACTTTTGACGTGGACAGTGCGTGCAAAGGGCGCAGCATCGCAGAGCATGCAGCATTAGTCAATTGTGCAGTGCTGTGGACTGTCCAAGGGCCCTACGGTTCCATCCACGCCTTCGATCCCAACGCCCAAACCCCATTCACTCCTGCGTTCCATCCCTGCCAACACAGGGCCCCCAGCCGCCCCGACGCAGCAACAATGCTTGCTGTGCCAGCGTCCACATGGATTCCCGGAAGCAGGCACCTACCTTGGGCAGCGTGGTGGGGAAAGTGTCCCCCTTCTTGACCACGCCCTTGAACAGGCCGTCACACAGGGCAACGTCCAGCACCAGCGTCCGCGGGTCCGGCGCGCCCTCCTCGAGCTTTGCCGCCTTGACATAGGCCTGCGCCACCTCGAAAGCCTCAGGGGCGCTGTAGAGGCTGTCGGGGCTGGCACCCACCGCCTCGAATATGGCTGCGTGTGCGTACCGGCAGGTGTGTGCATGTTGGAGTGTGTATATCTGGGTGTGCACGATAAGTGCGTGTGTGCGCGCACGTGAGTGGGTGTGTTGATGGTTGCATGCACGCGTGCACATGTGGGGGCAGCGTTGTGATTGAGTGGGAACTAGGCCAACGGCACTGTGCAGGGGACAGGAGGAGTCTGACAGACAGCAGGGTCGGCTGTACAGGGTGTCAGGAGCTGTTTCGCGTTGCGTTCAGTGAGTCAGTCAGTCAGCGCATGCCATTAGTGCAAGGCCACCGATCCCGTAACAACGTGCGCTCGATCAGCCATCAACGCCGCGCGCCGGTGCGCTCATCTGAAACCCCCACGACAAGGACCCTGCTCACGCTTCAGTTCCCGGGTTGGCTTGAACAGCTCGGCGATAAACAGGTCCTCCCCACTGCCGCCGCCGCCATTGCTGCCTCCCCCGCCACCGCCGTCGCCGCCGCCGGGCCCCGCGGCCCCCTGCCCCTGCTGCCCCTGCTGCTGTCTGTACGGCCGGAAGTCCTCGTACAGCACGTGGCTGCGGTTGACCCCCGACACAACAAAGTCTCCTGCCTTGTCCTCCTTGCCCTTGAGCAGCCCCTCCTTGGCGTACACCTGGGGAGGAGGCGCGCACGCGCGCGCGTGCGCGCGCGCGCGTGTGTGTGTGTGTTTGTGTGTGTGTGTGTTTGTGTGTGTGTGTGTTTGTGTGTGTGTGTGTGTTTTGTGTGTGTGTGTATGTGTTTTGGTGTGAGTGGGTGCGTGCGCCCATGTGCGTGGATGGCCGGAGGGTGGGTGCAGACGAGGGGCCACGAGACACGAGGGGTCAATGGAGGCGAACAGGGACGGCAGGATAAGAAATCAGGTGGCTAGGTCCGGGCATGGCGGCTGCAGGCTTGGGTTGGGTGAGGGCATGAAAGGCTCCCCAACCTAATGTGGCCGCGAACCTGCAGCATCTTGGAGATTTTTTTGTGTTTGCTCTTCTTGACGTCCAGCACGCTGCCTGGGGGGCGGTGTGGCAGCACGTGCTGCGACCTGCGGGGCGACCGATACGGCATGCGGCGGTGGGACCATGGCACACGCGCGGTACGCAGGGGCCATCGCAGCGATTGGGCACTGCCGCCAGCAACACGGGCACCACAGGGGACCGCCCCTTTTATATTAGGAACGTGGTGCGAAGCCGTGTGCTTTGGCCCCTATCATCAACAAAAGCCGCCTCTGCTGATGGCATCGCACAGAGCCACTCACCACAGCACCGAGCCAGCCAGGGGCAAGTCAGCGTCCTTCACGCTCTTGTGCAGTGCCTGCAGCAGCGCAGCCTCCAACAGAGCGTCCATGTCTGCAGCGGCCTCAACTCCTGCGGCCTTCTCTGCTGCCGGCGTGGTGGCCTCAGCGGTGGGCAGAGAAGCCCCTGCATCGCGCACTGCCGTGCCCTCGGCCGCCGCACCCTCGGCCGCAGCCTCTCCGCTGCCCGCTCCACTGCTGCCCTCCTCGTCGCCGCCACTGCCGTGCCCCTGGTCGCCAATTTCGGCGCCACCGTCCCACACGCCGGGCAAGGGCGCAACGACTCCCTCCAAGAATCCCTCATTCGGGACCGGCTTCCCGACAGCTTCCTGCCACAGGTGGTCGCCGTAGGCCTGCAGGACCTCCACTGCCTTCCCTTTCCCGCTGGCGGCGAAGGCAGCCGCCATGTCCTCGCTGCTCAGGGCGGCAAACCCCACTGCAATTGGCGCGGGATTGCCTGGGACGACGACGGACACGAGGGCGCCCTTTGCAAACGGCGGCAGCGCTGCGACATTGACGCCTGGCAGCATCACGTCCGCGCCGTGGCCGTGGCCGGCGCCACAGATGAATTGGGAAACGGCCGGGTGCCGCAGCGGCACGCGCGGCAGCAGCTCGGGCGCGCGCCAGAGGCCCATGACCGTCGGGACGTAGTAGTCGCCCTTGCCAGAGGCGTCGAAGACGAGGGGGGCGCCATCCAAGACGTACAGCGTGCCGCGTGCCGGGGGGCCGAGCTTGGCCTGCTGCAGGTCGCCAGCCTTCACGGGCAGCAGCGTGTCAAGCAGCGCCTCGTCAACGCCACCCAGCTGCTTGTCCAAGGCGCTGGATCCAAGTTCGAGCAGCGGCGAAGGTGCGGACGCGTAAGCAAAGGCTGCCTGTGTCTCAGCAAGGGAAGTGGTGGCGGCGGCCCCTGCCAAGGATGTGCCTGAAAGCCTCACCGCCTGAGCTTCTTGCGGTCAGCTCCCGACACCAGGTGCGAATGGGATAGGTGCACGGCTTTGCGGAACATCCTCGCTTAGCTGATAGATGGGTGTCCTAGTTTCGATCTCAACAGCGACCGCGCTCACACAATATCCTGTGTCAGCATGTGAATCGACTCTCTTTGCTTGATGATGATTGACTGTGATATCTCAATGAAATGGTAGAGCGATCTGCACGGAGGTCAAGGTCACTGTGGTGTCACCTCGGTCTCCACGCAGTGCGCCAGTGACAATGCAGGCCGATTCTCACATTCGTGGCCATCAGCGAGATTCAATGGGTGGTTAAATAAATTGCAGACAACATTCAGAAAGACGGGTGGTCCGCCTGCCCTCACTGGCCTGGCCAGTGTGGCTATCATAGCTAAGAGCCTGGGTGGGTTGTGTATCTGAGTATCTGGTGCAGGCCTGTCGCCTGCGGCATGCAGCTGTAGCTACTCGTGCTGCAACGGCATGTATCCCGTTCTCCCAACCGAGTTTTGCAAGGAAGCAGGCGTTGAGCATATAAAAAGCCTCTACAAGCCTTTATGAATGAGCAACAACCGGGATGTGTGCGCAACAAACCTGACCCAAGCCTGGACTGAAGTTGACAATAGGCATGCGCAAGCACCAAAGTGGAGAGCACGAGTACAATTGGCAGACATGTAAAGAGCATGCATGAGCGGGTAGGAGGCAGCTATGTGCGCACAATCTGGATCAGCATGAATGGATAGCAGAAAGCCATGGGCACACCTATCTTAAAGGCACAGCAAATCAGAACAGTAAGCACAAGCGGATGAGTGCAAGGCGCAGGTGGCCTGCATGCACCGAGTTGGGAAATGCGGAGGCCATCCAACACTTTCAATCACCTCCCCCCACCCACCCACAAACGCAATCCGTCAAACCAGCAAGCGGGCGGGCATACAAGCAGGGGGACAGCCTGCGAGAAATGACCGCAAGCAGGCTGAAAGAAGAGGCGATACAGGCTCCACGCACGGATCTAGGCTCAGGAAAAGCAGGCAGGCGGAAATTTCGGCAGGCAAACACGCAGACATTGAGCAGGTAGACATGAAGACCTCTGACACCTCATCGGCGCCGCCAGCCTCACAAGCAGCCCGAAGCGAAGCGTATCCCCCGGTCTGTTTGACGCTTGTTGAGAGTGCCCAAGCTCAATTTGTAACGTGCTCTAGCAAAAGAGCACAGTGATCATGTCGCTCCTCACGAAGCAGGTATGTGGGCTAAGATCTGGCTGCCACCATAGCTCATTGGTAATTCTGACCCGTATATTATTCTCACAGACCACGGCGGGCATCACTCGGAGGAGCGCGGCAGGTGTGTGGCCAAAGGGAGCCTGGGCCTTGCTGTAGCAAAGCACATTCCAGTGGTGGCTGATCATTTCGTTTCATACGCGTGCGATCTACACAGGATGCAGGACTTTCAGCACTGTCCGAGTGCAGTGCTCGGCGGTGCGCCCGGCAGCAGCGTCCCGTCGTGAGACGCTGCAGCACGGGATCATGCTGGCTGCCGGCATCGCGGCATGGTGGGTGGCGGGACGCGCTCGCAGCTCTTGCAACTCAGAAGGGGCACAGGCTGTCGTGATGGCTTCTTGTACAAAAACATGACTGAGCCCAGTTGCGCTACGCATCTGATCAACATTGGAATTGATGCCACATCGGCACACTTGCCCTCCGTAGGCCCGCCGTGGCCGCGGGTGACACCAAGCTGCTGTGCGACGTCGACTGCGTAGCACGCCTGGAGTCTGCAGAGCTGGTGACCACACCCTCTGGGCTGCAGTACCGCGATATCACAGTGGGCACAGGCCCGCAAGCCGAGGTGCGGGGGATGCCCATCAGTGCCCTTGCACCAAAACCCATAGAGACGGCCGCACACGCACAAGCTTGTGGGGTGCGGTGGCAGCTGGCATTGAACGAGGCCCACGTTGTACCCACCCATCGCTCCTGACACCTCAAGGTCAGTCTAGCCCGCCCGCACCTTCGCCCCACCAGGTGGGCTACCAGGCTGTGGTGCACTACGTGGCTCAGCTGCCCAACGGCCGCGTGTTTGAGAACAGCCTCGAGCGCGGCGCACCCTTTGATGTCAGGTCGGCGCGACTGCACTTTCAGTTTGCCGCAGTCCCGCTGGGCGGATGTATGCCGTTGATGGCGCAGGGGCCGTGGCATTAGGGGCTGGTCAGCAACAGGATCCTGCTGCATTCAGCAATCTGCATGTTGCCTGAATCAGATACCTTGCATGGTATGATATTTACATATACATCATCACAGTCCTGCCTACTCCTGCGATTTGGGTTCAGATGCGTATCGCCTCATGTTTTCATGCATGTCAACGACTGTGCGAGCACGATGACCCAGCAGTCTACACCGCCGTGCGCCCTCACTGAACACTGCGCTTTGCCTCATAACCAATCTTACCTGGGGGTCCACTCATCACGCGTGACCCCTCCCACCAGGATTGGCACGGGCATGGTTGTGGCTGGCCTGGACGAGGCGCTCTCCACCATGCGCGTCGGAGGCGTGCGGCGCGTCTACGTGCCCGGGCCCCTGTCGTTCCCCAAGTCACTCAAGGCCGCCGCAGGCCGGCCCACGGTGCCGGCGAACTCGCCAGTGATCTTTGATGTTTCGCTCCTTTACATTCCTGGTGAGGCCCTGGTTGGGGACTGGGACCCAAGAGGAAGAGCTGGCCCCACGCTTCATATAAGTGGCACCTTGGAATGCTGACACCCCGCCTTGTATCACTCTCTGTGCAGGCCTGGACGATGAGTAGGACCCCAGATCCTGGCTGAGCCCTGGCAGCTAGCCTGGCGTCAGGTTTGCCAGCACGCCTGCTAAGGTGCATGGCCGCCGCACAGGCAGGCAGGCAGCAGTCGTGGATGGGTATGCCGATTGATTTCCATGCACTGTATGCAGGGGGTCCCGGTAGTTGCTCAGCGGCTGCACAGCACGTGCCCGCAAAATTTTGCAAGTGCGGTCCTTAACTTGCTTCCAATCCGGGAGAACCGCACTCACAGCCTGAAGAGCCGAAATTTTCCAATTGCAACCCAACAATCTCTGGCCTGTATGGTGTTCTCACCATGAGTAAATCACCTGACGACATCAAAGTAACAAATTTGCAGAGTTGCGCACGCAAGGATTGATGGGGACGCGTGCACAACAGTTTGTTATTCAACAACCAGGACAGCAAAACAGTTCTTGGACCTCGAGGAGGCAAACCAGTTTCAGGCAGGTGAGCGCTGCGAGAAAACACCTCGTACCGCATTTCATCCATGCAATCGCTGAGCGACTGCTTGCTCGAGAAAAAAGACAACAGACTTGAAAAACAAGGTTGGGTTGATGGTTACGATACAAAAATGCACAAGCGAGACTTGCATACCGTAACTTCCACACAGTTGTGTTGAGATTCCAACCATTTCAACACCGCGCGTAAACGCCAGCGCACACGAGCCCACAACTAGATGGGTAACCCCAGTTCCCCCAATCGACATATCAATGGCGGGCAGCTGCAACTCCCCAGTACATGTTGGGCCCGAAAACATCATTTGCCACAAATAGGCGGGTCGGTACCTGCTGTTGCCGCACTGAGTGAACAATCGGCTGCGCCGCCTTCTGCCCTGCCGCAGCCTGGCTGCAATTGTTTGGTTGCGCCGTGTAAGCTGTCATACCGGGGTATGCGTACGCCGCAGCGGCAGGGCCCGACACTGTGGGGTAGCCCGCGACTGGTGGCGGCCGCACGTAGGGCCCGTAGAGTGCCTGGTTGGCCGCAACCAGCGCCGACGCGGTGTGCGCCACTGGCACGCCCTGCACTGGCTGCTGCTTTGTGGGCAGGCCGCTGCCCCGCTCCTCGCCACAGCACTTGAGGTAGACGCGCACCAGGTTGGTCACAAACGCAGCTGCGAACAGTGCAAAGCCGAGCCAGCAGAGCAGTACGGCCCAGTCGCGGCGAGCAGGGAACGGCAGCTTCTGCACATCGGGGCGGCGGGAGACGCCTGTGAATACCATGCCAGCCGTGGCCCACCTGAGGAAGGAAGCAAGGGGGCGTAAAGAGAGTTGGGGTTGCGTGCAAGCCGGCAGGCTAGTATGCACTACTGGAGGCAAATCCAGACTTGAATGCAGGAGCACCCTCTGCGCTCGGCTGCGGTCAGCGCCGCCCGGCCTCACGCACCACGCGGCTCCAGCCAGTGCGAACATGGCGTCCAGGACGGCCCCCACGCCGCATAGATTGCAGGTCAGCACCAGCAGCAGCCCCAGGCCCAGCGTCGCCAGAATCGACACGCCGCCGAAGATGTAGGCGAGCCGGCAAGCGTCAGCGCCGCGGGTCGTGGTGCCCAGCAGGCAGACGGCAGTGGGCCTCTGGGGGCTGCCGTAATGGGCAGGCTCTGTCACATCAAGGTGGTTGGCGACCAGGAACAGCAGGGCGGTCGCCACTGCCAGCTGCGATGTAGAGGAAGGAGAGGCGCGCATTTTGGCTATGCTGGCTAGGGGGGGCTCTAGTTTGCCAACATGCGGGCACGCCGTGCGATGCACGCGACAACCCAGCTGAGCCGCCAGCATCACCAGCGCGGACGCCTGCGTTGAGCAATCCCCAGCACAGTGTCTTTCTACAGCCCACCTGAGCCACCACCAGCAGCGCACTGATGATATGCCCTTTCTGCATGTCGGTCTACACGCTGCCACGCAGCTGGGAACCGCCCCGGGATGGCGGGCGATGGCCGTCCAGAGCGCGGTGGTCGGCTCAGGGAGCAACTATTGTTTCCTGGATAGCACGATCCGGTTTCTGACAAGTCAGGCGGTGCGGTTCGTCAGTATACTCGGGTGTGGGCAAGCTTGCTTGAACGGGCGATATTTGACTCGTCAGCTGTGATTTATCGTGTGAATGTGTCTGTGAAGGTTTATGGCGTGATTTTGTTTCTTTTGGTGTTTGTAGACCGACTGCATGCGGCCTAGTCGTAGCCTGCGCCGATGCCTGACAGCGGTGAGAAAGAGTGATAAGAGAGTGAGGGGAGCGCAGCAACAAGAATCGGCTCATAAGTGAATTCTGGGGTGAACATTCTTTACCATCGCACGTCCCTGAACTGTTGCGCCACCAACGACGTGGCCTTGCTGACAGGGCGCCTGATGCCTCTGCAACTTGCTGGCTATACTCTCAGACTGCGCAATGCCCCAAGGAGCTGGCAGTCAAGCAGTCCAAGTTTGTTTCAACATGGAGCTCCGGTTTCATGGCAATCGTCCAGCTCGCATGTGTTGGCGAGGGTTTGCTGGTTGGTTGCAGAGCAGTTGACGCACACCCAGGCTCATGCGGCGAATCCAGCGCAGCCGAAACTAGCGCAGCTGAACTTAGCGCAGCTGCCCTCAAGCACGAGCTGAAGGTCCTTGCACATACACCGCATCAACAGCAGGGACCAGACGGTTGGGTCATGCGGATAGGTGAGGGCTTTTACAATCCTCAATTGGTCGCCTCGCTGCCCACCTCCTACTGCTCCTGCTGCTGCTGCTGCTGCTGCTGCTGCTGCTGCTGCTGTTGCTGCCCCAACTGCTGCTGCTGCCCCGACTGCTGCTGCTGCCCCGACTGCTGCTGCTGCCCCGACTGCTGCTGCTGCCCCGCCCCTACAAGCTCCAGCAGCTGCTGCTGCAGCCGCCGTCCGACCTCCGCGGGGTCCCGCAGCCGCAGCTCCGCCAGGTCTGGCATGGCGTCGTCGATGGCGTCCCTGAACTGCTCGTCCGCGTCGTACATGGTGGCCAGCGCAAACTCCAGCCGCTCCCCCGCGATGCTGCCCTCCCCTGCGATAAACCTGCGTAGTGTCAAGGGAGGTTTGTGCGAGCAGGACTGTTGGTGCGCAGCGAGCACAACGGCGGACTGTCCAAAGCGGTGCGTACGAATGGACGAGGCACCTAGCCTTGCGGCAAAGGTCGCGCGCGTGCTGGTTCACCCACCTGTCCAAAAACACCCGCGCCTTGGACACGTCCAGCTCGCGCCGTATGGACAGCAGCTCGGCGCCGTCCCTCCACGGCTCCGGGTTGCGCTCAAACTCGTGGTACAGCCGGCTGAGGGACCCGTCGTACCATGGGGGGCTGTCCGACAAGTCGCAGTCAAACATGAGCTGGGACATGTATGATGACGTCAACTCGGCCCCAAACGCGGCCTCCAGGACGCGCGAGGTCTTCTTGTTGGCGAGCTGGTTGGCGCAGAACCGGGAGTGGCCGGCGGCGAGCTCCGCAAGGCGGCGGGCGGCGGGCTTGGTCCGGGGCTCGATGGGCGACAACAGGGTTGAGTACTGGCGGGGGACGGAGAGGGGGAGGTTGCAATGTAATTTTCAGTGCACGATAATGGGTCGTGAGATGAGGGCCCTAGGACGGTCCACAGCAGATGGCTGGCTGTGGCAAAGCCCCCTTTCCCAGGAGCATGTATAGCAGCCCCACGGCTTTCTGACTAAGGGAGACACAAAGAAAACAAGAAAACTTCGGCTGGTGTACCATTTGAAGGGAACCAAGCTAGCAGGTTGGTGGGAATTCGGATGCAAGCCACTCGCTTGAGCCTTCGTTCTTCACAAAGCATCAACGATGTCAGATGCCACTCTCACCCCATGCCCCCTGCAGGTTCCTCCCCCGGGGCTAGCACTCACCATGAGGTGCGCGCGCGTGAGGGCCACGCAATACTTGATAAAGCCGGCCAGGGCCTGGTCGGAGTCGGGGCGCATGCACACGGCCAGTGGACTGAAGATGGCCCGGCCCCAGTCTGGCACAGCTCGACTGGTTCCCGGATCAGGCAGAAACGCTTCCTGGCGGCGGGGACAGGGAGGGTGGGCCGGAAAGTGGGTTGTTGTAGAAAGCTTGGGGACCAGGCACGGTAGAGTTTGATGGGACTTAAGAACGCCATGCACCCAGTCTATCGCTGCTCCCCAGTGCTCTCTGCTGACAACAGGCGGATGGACGGACACACACGCGCATGCACGATGGAGAACACATGCATTCGTGCAGAGGAGGGCGCACACACGCACGCACGTGCTCAAGGGCGCGCACAGGCGCGTGCACGTGCTGGCATGCGCATACACATGTACTCACAATCCCCACACACGCACACGCACACGCGTACACACGCGTACACACACACACACACACACACACACACACACACACACACACACACACACACACACACAAACGCACATCTGCACACGCACACTGCAACCGCCCATACAGCACACACAGACCTGCAGCTCCACCATGGTCTGCATGTAGTGCTGCGGCAGCCGCAAGTTGGCAGACAGGGGGCACGCGTCCGCGACCGCGAGGGTGACTGCCCCCCCAGCAACGACCATGTCGAGCGCCAGGATGGGGAGGTCAAAGTCGTACCTTGGGTGATGCATGTTGGCAGGGTGAGGGCGCAGGAAGCAATGTAAATGGCAGACCGTTTGTTACCGTACTTAGGACATGCCAAGGTGTGCAAACCTCTTAGAGGGGAGCGACGTTGGGTGAGGGAAGGGTGCAAGTCTGTAAGACATTGCAATGGAATGACTTGCATTGGGGCCAGCTGACCCCTTTTGCCCTATCAGTGTTTGCGTCCTTGCAATGGCAAGGAGGACGGGCGATCCCCACTCCCGAAGGCCCCAGCTACAAGGTCCCCAGCTGCTCCCGGGCCCTGCGCTCACCGCGGGTACAGCACCATGTGCAGCACCTCCAGGCCGTCCTGCCGCACGGCCACCTCTAGGTGCAGCTTCCTGAACACACGGCTGCAGTACACACGGTTCTCAACCTGGCCAGGTGAGGGTGCATTTTTCAAAGACGAGTTGGCAGGTGAGGTATGGCAGGGAAACTCACAAATTCATTATGCACACGTGTACGCGAGTCACGGTATGCCCTCCATCAGCTCGCAGCTGCAGTGGACTGCTGGAAAGCCTCTGGAAGCTGCGGGATGCAGATCAGGGCTGCAACCGCGTCCCATCACCTGCAGCCGTGGGTAGCCCTCTGCGCCCTTTGGAGGGTCTGGCATGTCGGCAAAGGACCAGCCGTCCCACTCGCGCTGAGGATCGAGCGAGTCAATGTAGTCCCACCCCTGATCCTGTTTGGGTGGGGTTGTTGGCAGGCCGGCCGCATGGGGCAGGAGGGCAAGAAAAGGCAAGGGTTAGGTGTGGCTGCACGCGCACGCGTGCAAGCAAGAATAACTGAGCGAGCGGTATGCCGCCAGCCCAAAATATGCACCGACATGTGCCACGCGGATGAGCCAATCGGATGCAGAGTTCTTGCCGCCTCTTGAGCAAACCGCTCCTTGGGCGACGTTTGGCCCGGCAACATTGTACAGAGCAGACCGCGGGCACGCCCCTTTGTGCGCCCCCTTTCAGGCCCTTCGCCACCGCCCCCCACCCGCTCTACACCCTGCTCTGTGCCCCGGCCCCTCACTTTCCACTTGTTTGGAGGGTACATGGTGAGGTCGTCATCTAGCAGCTCGCGCATGGCTCCCTCCAGCCGCCCCACCATCAGCCCAATCACGCGGTTCACGGAGTCTGCAGCAGGTTGAGCGCGAATGCACAGTCGGGCGGGTGAGACTGCAGGGGAGCTGCATTCGCCGAGCGTGCACTAAAGCATTGGGCCAGGAGCGCCCTGCCCGGACGTCACGAGCCGGGCAGTACCTAGACTTTGGCAGAGGGCAAGCACACGCACCCCCAGCCCAGGCCCTCAAGAGATCCCATTTTGCTCACTCCTCAGCCGCCAGTTGCCCATTCCAATGAGGTCTGTGGCCATGCCCGGTGGCAGACCGTCCAACCCCAGCATCGCACCCTGGCGCTCGCGCATCGAGCGCGGCACGTCAAGCACGCTGGCTACCTGCCCCAGCCATTGCTCCTCGTCCCTGTGTAATGCCGGCAGGGTGCGGGGCGGGGCGTCGGACGAGGCGGACGGAAAAGAGGGAGGCACATGGGCGATAATGAAGGGCGGTGCACCGGTGGGCTGCGACCACGGCGCTGCAAACAGCATCATTCACAGAGATTTCCAGGCATTGTGGCCGCGTCGCACCCTCTGCAGCCCGTCATTGTGCTTTCACATACACTGGTGCACCAGCTGCATGACCCACCTGGCAACATAGTCGTAGAGCCCCTCAACGTCGCCCTCGAACTGGCCCCGCCATGCATCTCCCAGAGCTTGCTCCTCAAGCTCCGCCTCGCTGCCCCCCAGGGCACGCAGCTCATCCTCTGTCAACGGCCCCGGCGTGGGCTCCGCGGCGGAGCAGGCAGTGCGCCGGGAGCGGCGCTGCGATGCTGCCGCGACGAACGAGAACCGATGCAGCTGCTCAAGTGCCCGACCGCTGGTACTGCATGCCTCTCTCGACATCATGCGGGAAGGCGCGCTGCAATGGAGCAGCGGGGCCACGGCGATCATTGACGCGCAGCCCTGTAGCGAGCTGGCGCCAGATAGAAGCCGCGACATATGTATGAATTTTCACCTATCAAAAGCTGTAAAGACGTTGCCGCGCCGCCGGGTATAGCCTGGCTGATTTGATCTGAGGCATGAGAAATATTCAAGTCCACTGTGGTCGTGAAAAAAATTCCAGATTTCGATTATCTCATCGATATTTTGCAGGTTGCTGTGGTGATGCAAAATCGACAACTTCGCATGCTGCTCGAAGTCGCGGCGCGGTCACCGGTCACAGCTATCCGAACGGTCGCATGCAACCGCATGCAGGTTTCATGCGAATGCTGGCGCCAGGTTCACAGAAATGTTAGCATGTGGTTGTCCAGAAGCAGCTGGCCGCGGTAACTTGAAAACACGCATCTGGTTTTGGTCGGTGGCACAGGGGGCGGCGGGGGGTTGGAGCTCCAACCCCTCGAGGGGTGCGACCTGGTTGTGCGTGCAACCTTTTGCACCACTGATACACAGTGGTTTGGAGTGTACAATACAACTTCTGTCGCCGCCTTGCGCAAATATCTGGCTCCGGACATGGGTGGGCCACGGCCTGATTGCGACACTGCCGCAAGCCGTCGGCCGGTGTCGCTTGCAGGACTGCTGCTCAGCTACTACCAGTGACTGGCCGATCGCCTTTGATAGCCGATGCCCACGTACCCAGCTTCTTGCAAGGGTAGTGACCTCCTTCGTTGTCTTGCACGGTTGTCCCTCTGCTAGAGGCAAGTAAGCTCTTGAAACACACGCACTCCAATGCCCGCACGGCAGGGCCCAGGCCCCAAGCAAGACGGTCTATTGAGCGAGCGCACTCCGGCCCCTCAAGGTTCAGACAAGGAGGGAAACGCAACACACACCCCACACTTCCTGCACACCCAACACCGCGCGCCACCAAGACGCCGCCGTCACCGCCGCGCTCCAAGCGGCCCGCCGCCGCCATCGCTGCTCCCAGCGCCGCCGCCCCCGCCGCCGCCACCAGCCGCCGCCGCCGCTGTAGCCCGCACCAGCCAACAAGCCCCCAGCCTGAACTTGAGCCGCGGCGGCGCGCCGGCCGCCGCAGCTGCTTGCACCCCTCAAGCAACCACCCCGCCGCCGCACCATCGCAGCTCAAACCGAGATAAGCTCAAGGGCTGCTGGCCCCATCCTGGGAACCACGAGGGGCTCGCGCCGCCGAGCTCAGGGGCGTCAGACTGGGTGCTGTGCCAGTTCGCGTGCATCGCACGCTCCACACCGTTTATGACGTCGTCAATCATGTCCACCGCTGCAAACCGTAGCTAGCTCCGTGTGGGGCACACAGTTGCTGTACTTTCTGGTCCTTTAGTTTCATGTGCTCCGACATGTGTTCATGCCTCGATTTTGCACGGGCTCGGCGGGCATGCCGGCCTGGCAGGCTGTTTGTTGTCCTGCATGGATTGTGAGCTCACTCCCCCTCGGCCCGGGCCGCTTTCGAGGTGGGGGGACAGGGCTGGCCTTCGGGCCAAGCGGTTTTCCCGGGTTCCCCGCAGCCGCAGCCTTGCATGCTCACGGTCCCGCAATGATCACTACTCGCTCTCAGGTGGCATTGCGCGGTGTTTTGCACCCGGCGTACGGCCCCCCGGCGGGGGCGGGGTTTCCTCGTAAGTCCTTGAGGGGCTGGGGGCCTCGCTCCGGCTGCCACCTTGTGGTCCCACCACGCGCCGGCGGCAACGCCGCGTCTCGGGCCGGCTCGGGCGGCCGCATCTGCGCAGGTGTTGTCAGTCTCTCATGTGACTTCACATGTATTTAAGAGAAAACTGCTGTCCTGTCACCTGCCGCCGGCAGCGCAGGCGCCACAACGCCTCCAGGACCGCAAGGCACGGGTGCGCCCACAGCTCCCCACAATTATGCTGTTTCTGGTCCTGCATGGATCGTGAGCTCACTCCCCCTCGGCCCGGGCCGCTTTCGAGGTGGGGGGACAGGGCTGGCCAGGCGTCGGCCTTCGGGCCCAGCGGTTTTCCCGGGTTTCCCCGCAGCCGCAGCCTTGCTCACGGTCCCGCAATGATCACTACTCGCTCGCAGGTGGATTAGGATTGTTACAAGATCCCGCGGTTGACACGGTCGCCCGCTTCTGGAGCCATCTAGGCTCATGGGATGTAGCGTTGTGGCAGGCAGGTGGCATTGCGCCGTGTTTTGCGCCCGGTGTACGGCCGTCCGGCGGGGGCGGGGTTTCATCGTAAGTCCTTGAGGGGCTGGGGGCCTCGCTCCGGCTGCCACCTTGTGGTCCCACCACGCGCCGGCGGCAACGCCGCGTCTCGGGCGGTGCCGCCCGGCCACGTGGAGCTAACGCTGGTCGGCATGTCGCGTGTCTCAAGCCGCATCCAGCCGCGTGGGCTCGGCCGCTTGCTGCTGCAGGCGGTCGGCTATAGGGCTGCATCGGTGGTCGCTGAGTTTCACCC